CATTACTGTCTCATTCCTGATGCGGCTGCGCACAGCAGGTGCCTTTTGAGCAGCACCGGGCTCTTTGGTTTTAAAAGTATTTCGACCGTATTGGATAATGCGCCGGCGGTCACGGTCAACCGTTGGGCGATCGGAGTGTGCGGTTTTTGGGGCCGACCTTTTCTAACCCGTCCTTCCTCAAGGGAAGACAGCATCGCTGCTTCCATAAATATGGACATGCTGGTCGCCTGGGGGAAACACCTTACTGCGACGTACACGTACTGCGATAGTACGACTTTACCCCCAGACCGCCTCGTAGTATGAGGTCTGGCTGCTCCCCTTTGGTCTTTCTGGCATGGTTGCACCTTGTGGAACGAAGTTCCAGCCAGTGTAGCCCGCGGGATCGCTGCAGTAGTCAAGCCCGACCACCACGTCAAGGTGGCAGCTTTAGGTCGGGGGTTGTGGTAGTAGCATAAGCCGTAGGCGTGCTCAATGCTAAGGCAGCTGCGCAAGCTCTGCATTGCACATTGAGTTAATCCTAGGGGGCGGAATGCTCCTTGCAGTGGACGTTTGGTACAACCCTGTTACCAATAAGAGTTGATGTTATGCTTAATCATCACGTAACAATACTATACTTATTTACTATGTAACGATAACCGCAAATCACCCATGTCGGTAACCCCCCCTCTCTCGTTGACACTCAACCGCAGGGTCCATGCACTGTAGGTCTTTCCCTGTAGAAGCCGTCACTATTCTCATGGTCCCCGTCTCTCTCATCCAGGAATTCATACTACTAGGCTTCTCTACCCATACCTCGAGTGCTCAAAAGACTAGATATGTTTGCGCGGACCGCATTACATTAACGTTAAGGTGCCGGCATAATCAAGTCCCGAACTACTACACCATCATCAGCTGTAAGGACAGCGTACTTACTGCACAGTGGTTAAGATTGGTGCAGTTCTGTTCACCGATGATTTGGGGAGATACGGATGGACAGCTTCGTATTGTAGGCGGTAGATATAATTGATGCGTGAATGCGGGACCGCCAGTTGTTTCGATTAGGAACGTCGGCAGGGAAAGCTTTGTATTGAAGGCAATAGCTTGGATGAATGCATCTGAATAGGCCATGTTTGAGAAAGTCTAATTAGTAGTGTGTCTCTTCCAGGGTTCACTGTCCGGGCAGTATGCCTTGTCGCGTTGGAAAGATTATGGGTGTTTTGTTGACAGCGGGATGGTGTTGGTGTTGCATTCAGGCGCGTTGGTTTCTTCTAAAGGTTGCGATGATGGAGGGTCGGCTTGTCGCTCAAGATGATCATCTTGTGAGTGGCTTAGCGTCCCATCATTTTTAACAAATAATTTCGTTGAAATCCATTTTGGCCAGTTGACCGAATCATCTGAAAGAGGGCGCGACCCTTATCTGTAGCGAAAGCTTCCATCTTCTGCGTCTTCCCTATCTAGGCTTAGGCAACCTGGCAGTATCCCAGCCCTCGTTCTTCCTTCAAGTGGCATGGCAGCCAGGCACCGAAAGGATGTTACAGCGGAAGGATTATCATATGATTATCTGGGTCTTCGCAGTCCTCCACCATCATCGACAGCACATCAGTGTTTAACACTGATGTTTCGCTGCCGTACAACCACATATTTTGAAACTTCCTTCAAGTGGCATGGCAGCCAGGCACCGAAAGGATGTTACAGCGGAAGGATTATCATATGATTATCTGGGTCTTCGCAGTCCTCCACCATCATCGACAGCACATCAGTGTTTAACACTGATGTTTCGCTGCCGTACAACCACAATATTTTGAAAGCCTCATTGTGAAGAAAATAATCAAAGTGGGTGGAGAAGGGCCTTAGTGCTAGTCTGCTACGGCCATTCTGGGGAGTCCATATCTCCAGACGTTCACTCGGACAATCTGGTCAGACACTGTAGGGTCTCCGACTACACACAGGAGGGATAACGCCGACTCCATCCTAGAAAGCGAGTCACACCAACGACACGCAGACTTTTCTTAATCGCTTCCACACCTCTCTGGTGGGTCAAAGTTAATGATCTCTCTGCTCGCGCTACATTTCTAAGAGCTGGCAGCATAGCTTCTTTCAGTATTTTCCACTCAACCCAAGGCATTTTTCGTTAGCATGGACACAGGTTTCCAGCCAGATCAGCGCGATGGCCCTGGGCTATTGAAAATCGTCGAAGTTGACCAACGGAATTTCTCTGCTTCGGCACACGTGATTCTGGCAGGAAGTTAATTGATAACCGAGCCCGCACAGTGGGGTCACAAGAGTTAAGTTGCCTACTCTAAGAGGAGCCGCGGGCACTTCGTCGGTAACTGATAGCCAACAACTTGACATCCCCAGCTCAAGACGAATCCATCTCAAACAGTTCTTGCGTAACGAAAATGTTCGCATTTACAGACAGCCAATCTGAAGCCAAAGATGGAGGACTGATGTCAGATACCACGTTTTCCAACCTGTTAATAGCATTCGATCGAGTCCAATGGTCTCCATTGGAGTTTCCCATTGCTTCGGGATCATTCCCATCACTTATGTGCACGAATGACCTTCCAGATGGGCTTTCGATACAGGTTATTTTTTGTGAATGAACTGAAACCTTGGACTCCCAAATCAGCATCCTCAAAATGGATGTCGACGCAGTGGGGCAGTGGCCATCGGGCTGGCGTCTTCCTCTGAATAATGGCAGATACGTGCATATGTCCTTCGGAGGGGATTCGTCGAACGCCTTTTTCGTGGATGGTGAGAGTGAGCCACCAAAAAGGTCTTAGATACCTCACTGTCGTTAAGTATTCCCCCTCACTCTCCAGTGAAAAATCTGCTCGAAGGGCATTTGTCGTTCAATGAATGATTCGGCGCACATTCCCCGTATCACTCGCATGGACTTCTAGATACTCTATGCGTTCTGCGTCATACTGCTTGAATAAACCAACCAAATTGTCTACCCATGACCCAGAAAGGATGTTTTCCCCATTCAGCGTATCTGACAGGCCGGTACAAAAGTGGTTACTGGTTTCAAACACGTCGATTGTAGAATGCGTCTCGAGATGTCTCAACGTTTTTCATTAGAGTATCGTGGCCTACGAGGGGAACAAATGTCTCCTTATGAAGGTTTGGCTGACAGGTTTTACCGTTGGCCTAACTAATACATGGCGAAAACATTGTAAGAAGGTTTTCAAGCTCAGAGTGCATGTATTTAGTGGGCAACACCTCTTCTCATTTCGGGTGTGGAATAGCCCCCGACGATTGTCCACCGCCCAGCGGTGCTGCAGCATTTTGCTTCCTCATTTAGGGAACGGAATTCGCTGAACGGTAAGAAAGCGTAATTGTGCTTCTGGGCCCAGTCTCCCGACTTGGGCGTTCAGATCAATACGGTCACTGTATCCATTCTTTCTAACTGAAAGTCTTGCAAATCTCAGTAAAATCTGTCCTCCAATTCAGAACAGCGGTCTGTCGGCGCATACAAAGACAACCACACAGTGCAAAGACTACCGTTTACTGGGATCCAGTCCATAAAGTGCTCTCAGCCTTGGGTCCTTTTACCATAATACACCATGAATAGTTGTGTCCGGTTCTACAGGCACCTGAAGCGCACGACCGAAGTGAGGTATTGCGTGTGTTTTAGGGACGCAACCGAGATCGACAGAAAGAGGAAGCAAGGTTTTAGCAAGGGGTACTTTCCGACTTGACATTGAAGACTGATAAGGGAATGTTTCGGTTTCTGCTGGGCGATAGTTTGCACATAGAAGAATCGTTAGGGGACTGGTAGATGGTTTGACCTTAGTGAATCACTCCAAGGTTGGGAGAGGCCTTGGGTGATGGTCTGTGAACGAAATGTTGCAAAGCGAATTATATTTCCTGGTTGACCAGGGCACCAGAGTCATTTTGAGGAGGCGCAGCTTGAGCCAATGACTGAGTAGTTCTGCCCGTTTGGCTGCCGGGGTTGATCTGAAGACTGCATATGTCGCCATTTGAGTATGGCATGATGGTGACTCATAATTCTACCTCGCAGAGCAAGCTTTTCGTGAGCAACACCAAACTCTGGTTTCAACGTTAATTCGGCCATGCGCCGGTGGTCACGGTCAATCATTAGGCGTTCAGATAATGGTTTTTACGGATATTTTCCAGCCCGTCTTTCCTGAGGATAAGGCGGCATTGCGGCTTCCGTAACTGTGGGGGTGCTGGTCCTCTGAAGAAAATATCTTCACATTATCGTAGAGGACACTGCGGTTGTAGCTATAGACCGCCTCGTAACGTGGTTCATCGGATTACCTCGGAAAATTATGTTACATCCCCTGGGGCTCGTCAACTGAATGCAGCGCGGATGTGCGTCTCTCATAACAAGGTTACGACAATCGATTTTGTTGTTCCTCAAGCTATTCCAACATGCTTACGGGCCGTTTCGTTACGGACGTACTACAGCCAGTAAGACCGCTACTACGGTGCGGCAGCAAGTTATCAATGTTGAGTACTGGTTTTATGTTGTCGATGGTGATTAGTATGCTGCGAAGAAATTGGTGACCAAACACTCACGCTCTCCGGGTTTTATGGGTCAGTTTTCAAGAAAAAACGATATCTGTCTCTATGGTTGTTTCGTAGACGGGGCTTTTGGTATGGGAAAGTTTCGCTTCTGATACCATAGATGACACCGGTCAGCGAATGCTGCTCGTACGGCGGTGTGTGCTCTGAACTCACTTGCCACAATGCAGTCGTGACTTAGGCAGCTACAAAAGTAGATCTGGCGATAAATTGGAGCTTCCCATAAGCCCCAACAGGATACGAGGGGTTTGAGAATACTTAATATGACAGTGCACTTCGAAGGTACGCGCAGAGGGCGCAAACATATGAAACCCCAGCAGTTGAGAAACCTCTGGATAGCTCACTGGGAACCCTAACATAACCAGTAACGTACAAAAAGGAGCAGATGCTGTTCACAAACATCGAAGGCATTTCTCTATGGTCAACCGCCTCTAGAACAGCCAGTGACATGGAAGTATTTTACAGCCAAGGAAGACCGCCATTCTTGGCTGGTGGTTGTTTGACGCCACACATACTTTCGGCTTGATCCACCCTCTACGTAGTCGAGGTTCTGCCCAATGCTTCTTGAACTTGGGTATCGCTTGATGAGATCAGGCGTCGTAGTGTCATTGTAACTAGTAGCAAAGTTATGGCTGGTGAACGCTTATAACCTCATGGTTAGAGCAATCCCTTCGATTACGTTTTTGTTCTGAAATTCAGTATTTTATCGGATGCTCCGAAGCACTATGTACCATGTTTTCTACCGTCTACCTCCTCCAAATCAAGGCTGACGTCACCGGAGGATACTGATCACTTGATAAGCTTATCTAATATTGCATCAAGACTTTCAATGGTTAAACGAGGACCTTCTTTCTTAGATTCGTCCACGGTTGACCGTTCAAGATGTCCGACAATGTGTATGTAACGAAGCTCCAAACAACTTTGAATACGAATCTAGTAATACAACGGAAAAAACTCGATGTTGTCCAGGTATCACCATAGAATGCCACCACCTTCCCGGAGCTGAAATGTCTCAGTTGAACTTGAATTTGCACACCGTTTAAGCTAGTATACGTATAAATAAAACTGACTCAATAGGAACAGACCTGTTGAACGCCTGTGAGTTTCGCTTACCACTGTAATTATTATTACTGGTAGCCTACCCATTATATCCACCACATACATATGTGCACAAAGTAAGCGAAATTCGATCTTTATTTCTGCTTCTGTAGTTACAAGACGATTACGGCGAAAGACGAATCGGCCGCCGTGGAGCCTTCTTCTGTCTCTTTTTTGCTTTCCTAGTATCCTTCAGCTGCGTTATTGCCTCATGTTGGATCCTATTTGGAGCTTACGTAGCCGTTGGGAGCTCGAACGTATGGCCTGGTGTTGCCATACTTCTGCAAAATCTGCTACTATGTGCTGCATCCCTGACATTCCGTTTCGGGAGAAAACAGGATGACTGAGAAATACTTCCTTACACTCATTACATCTGTGGAACAATGACGTATTCTTTCCATATGAACCATACCAACAAGATTATGAGACTTTATCACATTTATTCGCATATTTGTCATTTAGTTAACTGCTTCATATACTGTACATATCATTATAAAATTTGTTCATCACGAACAGCCGAGGCCCAATAGGCAACACTCCACTTGTGTCTTGCTCATCGCTGGGGGGAAGCTGATGAACGGCTCTAAAACAAATTGGGGATTATGACCGGACCAGTAATGATTACCTTTGAACGGATATCGCTTTCGACCTTCATTCTGTTGGACTGGATAATATTGAGGATCCTGAAAGCAACGCAGAAAAAAATCCAGCACTAACATTATCACACAACTGTGTTAAGGTAACTTATCGAAGCCCTGGCTGAAGTTACCCACCAGAACTCTTGTGAAGTACGTCCGTGTCGCATTTACATTTATTTGTAGCAGGAGCTAACAGTGGGTGCTGTGAGAGAAGTTTGCGGTTCACGAATTTCCAGGGGTTCTCGTTTAGCTTACTGCTCTCGACAATAAACGCCTAAGCCGAGTAATTGCTTAACCACACAAAAACGAACTAGATCAAATAGATTACGATAGCCCAAGGTAGTTTGATGTCAAACGTACGGATGTAGTAGAACCGTGTATTTTTTCATTCTGTTTCTACTACGGGACTGCTCGCACGTGCCTCATCTTGCGGTCCACATCGAATTTTCAGTCAGACGCCTGGTGCCTCAGGAGGCCTTTCGAGTTCCGGGATATAGTTAGTCTCCGTGGAGCCCATCCCGATGTTTTATCTGTTATGATAACGTCTGGTTTTCAAATAAACACGATTTTTGAGCCGTTTATGCAACCAGATCGCCTTCATGCTTGCGCGTGCGCAAGCTTACTATCAACGCTAGAAATTTATAACGCGCCCTAGTGGAATCTTGGAGAATCGAAGTCGAATTTTAAATGAAGTCAAAATAACCGCGTGTACTCTGATAAGCTGTTTTATCTACAGTTTTCCAAGACATTGTTAGAGACTGCCGCTTACAGCTTCTACACGCTGATAAGCAATCAGAAACTGGTGAATGCATCAGGTCCCTAAGAATGATCAGGTGTACTTGAAATTAAGCAAGTTACAATGCAACGACACCTGGTAATATACACATTCCAGAGTCGCATAAATGTTCCAGCAGCGAAATAGAAGAGTGATAGGTCTTTAAGCATAACACATAAACTGACCGTACTGTAGGCGACAGCACAAACTACGTACCTTCTCAGTTATCCAATCATCCCAGATGATAGGTATGGCTAATTTTTGTTCCGCAAGAAGCTGGTTGATAGATCGGATCAATGCACGACCATCGACAGACATGTCGGCACGCCATAACTCGGTCGCCAAAATGGGAACTTCAGCTGAATGAGTTGAGAAAAAATTTACATACATTATACCAATATTCAAAGTCTAATTGTTTTCAGAATTCGTTCCAGGCAATGTTTAAGTCAGCATATATCTAGATTTTTCGACATGGCTTTACCAAAGTATCACTCGACGTGGTAAGCCGGATTGCGCTGGTAGAATAGTGATAACGATTGTCTCGACTGGACATGGCCAAGGATATGCACCGCCGGTGAGTTCTAACTAAGAGCGAAGCTCGAGTACAGTGCTTTTCTTCTTTTGGTTGGAATGACCGCACCAGGACAGGAGGAGATCGCCCAGACGAGTGAGGATTCTACAAATCTCAGAACTTACGATTAATGTGGATATAATACATGATCACATCTTACTGCTCTCGACAATAAACGCCTAAGCCGAGTAATTGCTTAACCACACAAAAACGAACTAGATCAAATAGATTACGATAGCCCAAGGTAGTTTGATGTCAAACGTACGGATGTAGTAGAACCGTGTATTTTTTCATTCTGTTTCTACTACGGGACTGCTCGCACGTGCCTCATCTTGCGGTCCACATCGAATTTTCAGTCAGACGCCTGGTGCCTCAGGAGGCCTTTCGAGTTCCGGGATATAGTTAGTCTCCGTGGAGCCCATCCCGATGTTTTATCTGTTATGATAACGTCTGGTTTTCAAATAAACACGATTTTTGAGCCGTTTATGCAACCAGATCGCCTTCATGCTTGCGCGTGCGCAAGCTTACTATCAACGCTAGAAATTTATAACGCGCCCTAGTGGAATCTTGGAGAATCGAAGTCGAATTTTAAATGAAGTCAAAATAACCGCGTGTACTCTGATAAGCTGTTTTATCTACAGTTTTCCAAGACATTGTTAGAGACTGCCGCTTACAGCTTCTACACGCTGATAAGCAATCAGAAACTGGTGAATGCATCAGGTCCCTAAGAATGATCAGGTGTACTTGAAATTAAGCAAGTTACAATGCAACGACACCTGGTAATATACACATTCCAGAGTCGCATAAATGTTCCAGCAGCGAAATAGAAGAGTGATAGGTCTTTAAGCATAACACATAAACTGACCGTACTGTAGGCGACAGCACAAACTACGTACCTTCTCAGTTATCCAATCATCCCAGATGATAGGTATGGCTAATTTTTGTTCCGCAAGAAGCTGGTTGATAGATCGGATCAATGCACGACCATCGACAGACATGTCGGCACGCCATAACTCGGTCGCCAAAATGGGAACTTCAGCTGAATGAGTTGAGAAAAAATTTACATACATTATACCAATATTCAAAGTCTAATTGTTTTCAGAATTCGTTCCAGGCAATGTTTAAGTCAGCATATATCTAGATTTTTCGACATGGCTTTACCAAAGTATCACTCGACGTGGTAAGCCGGATTGCGCTGGTAGAATAGTGATAACGATTGTCTCGACTGGACATGGCCAAGGATATGCACCGCCGGTGAGTTCTAACTAAGAGCGAAGCTCGAGTACAGTGCTTTTCTTCTTTTGGTTGGAATGACCGCACCAGGACAGGAGGAGATCGCCCAGACGAGTGAGGATTCTACAAATCTCAGAACTTACGATTAATGTGGATATAATACATGATCACATCACTCTTGTTTGAACAATCGTCCTCCTGTCCGGCACAATCATTTTGGTGAGTCCACGCCAAAGGCGCGAAACACTGGACTGGAGTTTCGCTCTTATCTGAGCCCATCGGCGGTGCATATCCCTGATCATGCCAGGGTTTGAACCCCGCACATCTGAAAAGCGAGGCGAATGTGAACATATCCTGATTGCCGACACGAAGAGACTGGACCTTATCGTGGTGTGGCGGTTTGTGTACCTCGGCGACCCATTGAGCTA